TCTCTCACACCCAACCACTTCACAAGGTTGTTGTTGTGGGGAAAAATGAGGAAGGAGCATTATATATACTCCCTTGATTTGTACAAAATAAAGGTGGGATGTAAATCTAATAAATAATAGGGAAAAAAACCAAATATGTTTGCTTTCAATATGTCTATTCATTTTCCTCTTATCATACTGCTTAATTTTTCTTATTTCCATCATTTACCAGCTAGCATAGCCCAAACTGCCACCCAGTGTAATCTAGATGGCTACAGGTTGCCCACCTGCTTTAAAGTGGCATAAGTCTCATCTACCTGGATGAATCATTTGGAGCCTATACAGCAAAAGAAAATCAATCACCAAAACAAAATCACTCCTGATAATCCTGTAAGTCACCACGTACAACCTGGCCAAACAACCTGCTTGTGTCCAAGCTCCACCTTCTCCAGTATACTTCATAACCTCCTCTTTACATTTCCCCTTACCTTGCACCCCACTGAGTAGCACATCCACACCATTCTTGTAGTGGTTGAATGCTTCTTCATAGTCTTCACTTACATCCCGTTCTAGAGCCAGGCGGATCTGTTTAGCTGCATCCACCAGGTAGTCGCGTTTCCCAGGACCATGTACGTCAATACTCCCTGGTGCAACCCGGCTTCTAATTTGTTCAAGATATACCCGGGCCTGAGAAAAAGCTCGGGTGCAGGACTCTGAATCCATTTCCAAAAAAGTGTCCTAAAGACACTCGGCTTAAGAAGTTGCCATTCTCAAGAGATTGTTACCATCCAGGTCCTGCAATGCATGAAACAAAGGCAGAATTACCCTGAGCATCAGCCATATGGGGTGGAACTGAGGAAGCTGTAGCTCAATTACATCTGAAAGGCCACAGATATACCTATGTCTGCCAATGACGCATTCGCATGTTGCAACAAGTGCCACCTTAGAAGAAAGATTCCCTTTTGCAGGTTGAGAAAATAGGGGACTTTCCTTCTCTAACTTAGTACTAAACCCAGTGGTGCTGTCAGAGCAAAACGAACAAGACTTCCAAAGGTCTAAGGAGAAAGGGGGCAGAGTAATTAAATCCGGATCTAAAGCTGTCAAAACATACTGGCAACTGAGCACCTGCAGTATTTGCAAATGTCTGTATTACAAAGAATTATTGTAATAAGGGCCACTGTCAACCATTTGTCAATCAATGATTCTAATCCAAGAAGCAAAAGCTACAGCTCTTCTTTAGAGAAACAAGTAAGTAGCAAGTGGCTAAGATCTGAAATCTGGGTGGAACAGAAGGACCATCTGGGTGGGGCTGGTTAAGAAACACAGGACTGATTGAAATGGGACCGAAGCAGCAGTAAAATTAAAATAAAATGGCAATCTCTTATTATAGGGCTACAAAATTGGTCTAGGAAAAGTCCGAAGGACCACTAAATGGCAAAAAGAATGCAGAGAACTTTTAACTCCTTCCTGCGGTCGCTTGGATGTGGCAGCCCTGCGTGGAGGCAGAAGGAAACTCGATGGCTATTTTGGATTCCTGTACCCGGGTCAGGCGGACGCGAAACGGCAGCTGCTAACGGCTTGCGACCTGTCTCTATGGAAAAAGCAGGTTGCTTTTCGCACTGGACGGCCCACGCAAGATGGAGGTGCCCAAGACCTCGGTTTCCGCAGTGCAGGCACAGATGCTCTGATGGAGAGGCTCCTTCTGGCTTGGTCCGTTGCAGGCATCTCAGTGGCTTAAGTAAGGCGCCGCCAGGAGGTGGCATCCATTGCTGGCGCTGCAGAAGCAACGGACCTAGGAATCACGACCCTAAGCTTAGGAGTCACGCGGCCTTATATTAGCTTCGCCATCCGGAGGGGGACGAGGAACTGACCTCGACTAGCCCTGCCTACTCCATTGGTATCAAATACCAATGAAATTGCGCTGCACGGTTACTGGGATCATCCCGGAGATGATGTAAACCCGTGACGGAGAGTGGACCGGCAGGGACAGGTGGCTACAGAAGGCGCAGGGAGGGAAGTGGGTCTCACAGACTCACGGGACTCGGCAATACCTTGAAGAGCTGATGGCCCCAAGAGGCTCGTCAGAGCGGAGGTGAGGCAGGCGGGACCTTCCGAGCCCGCGTCCATCTCGGCTCGGGCGAAGGCTGCAACGACCGAGGAGCCGGGTGTAGGCTGCAACTTGCACGGTGGTGGCTGTCCGAGGTGGTCTCCCATTGGCTGAGGATGAGCTCATCATCTCGCCTTTTAGAAAAGAGCTCCAATCGCCGGGCAGCCGATTCTCCGGCGTTGGCAGAACCGGCCTGCGGGGTCCAACGAACCAGTGGGGGCATGGACAGGCGGGAGGGGCCGGCCGGGAAGGGAGCAGGATTTCCCGCTTCGGCGGAGGAAGGGTGCTGGCGTGGTTGGGAATGAGCTGCGGGCGTTGATAAAGGCAGAGGAAGAGGAGCGGGGAAGACGATCGGTTGCCCTTCGAGACTGGAAATGGGTGTATCTTCTCAAAAAATATTTTTGCTTCTTGCTAACTATTCCCCCCACCCCCCGTTTCCGTGCAATCATTACTAGTCCATGTCTGCGGGCATTTCTTTGCAAGGCAAGCCCTGTTTCCTCCAGACGGTCGTGTGTGATTCTGTGAAAGGAAAAAACAATCTATACCTGCTCTAATAACCTACACTTAGCCCCTGCCATGTTAATATAATTTGGAAAGAAAATATGCCTGGCTAATTATTCACCCTGGAAGTACCTCATTTTGCAACACTTCCTTCCCATTTCACGCCGGGGGCGGCCGTACAAATAACGTGGTTCACAGAACTAAAGCTTGGAGCGAGAACCGAAGCAGCTGTCTTTGACCTCAGGATTCTGATTTGATTGGGATACCTCGGTTTCTGAACCTTCTGGATCTGCATCCGAAAGCATCCTTGCAAACGTCTGAAAGCACACTCTGTGTCTCTTTTTTTTAACAGTAATTTTATTAAAAATTACAATTGCAAAGTTAAAAACTAATGCAAACTAAAAACATAAAAGGAAAAAGATGATTCATTTGCTTTGCGAAATTATAGTTTCCCATTTGCTTATTTATCGTTAAAATAATATAAAATTGGTAATGGAACTTGTCAGGTACTAAATAAAGTATCATTGGGAACACTGACACTCATAAGCATCACATTATATTCTCTGTCTCTCTGTTGTGTGAGAAAAAGTGCAATTGGCCAAAGGAAAGTTTGGTCCCAATTATGTCATCAATATATGGCATATTTTATACAAAAAGCGTATTTCCATCACTTCCATGTCCTTGCCTGGGGGAAGGTTGCTCTCTGAACTATAGATGTCTCACACTGGGAATTTCCTGTGGGGCATTTCAAAATTCAGCTAGGCAGTATCATCTATTTATAATGTAACTAGTTATAAGAATTTTAAAGCCAAGATAAGATTCCTGCCTTGCCCAGTGTCTGGTTAACAGTGATAAGTATGGAATCATTGGAAAGAGGGCAAAATTTGGAGGCATGAAAAATGAGTAAAACATTTCCAAGGGCAGATACAGAACCATACAATCTAGAGTAATTCCATATCAAAAGGGAAACTCAAATTGTGGATTATGTTGGGTGTCCAAGGCTACAACCTTAAGCCTAAGAAACGCCTAGTGCAGTGTTGTCCAAACTTGGCCACTTTAAGATAGTGGACTTCAACTCCCAGAATTCCCTAG